GGTTCCTAGGATAGGAAAACAGATGAAGTGGGATCTTGCGGCAAGGGGTTGAGGACTGCGCGACCTCGCATAGTGCTTCTCCGCATGGTCAATCGATTTTCTTTTACACACCGCCTCGCATCCCCACCTGACTTACGATCACAACGGAAGCCGTTGAACCCTTCGATCTTGTGACGATGATATATCGTTCGGCTCTCAATGGAAGCAACTTCCCTCTAAATGTGCTCGCTGTGCTTTCAGCCCCTGTGATGTACGTAGTGGCTGGACCTCGTGTGTGCCACATCTTTGGCTGCTGCTATTTGCACAAGTCAAACGTCTTACCACTCCCCCATTGGCTGAGTAGTTTGTGTGCGTTAGAAGGAAGGTATGAAGGAATGCACACAAGGATCCTTACACACTCTTGCTGGTGACAGGGCAGGGTTTTGTTTTCGATGTAAACTCGAGATGCGTTGTGTCCGTTTTGCATCTAACTCTTGAAAGAGTCTGATGAACTCGTGAAGGCTCAAGCCATGGAGAGGTGTTCCAAAGATCAATGTAGAATGGATAAAAATTGGTTTTTGTAGGATATTGGTTAGATATTGATAAAATTCATTAATCATCCATAGGACAATCAATTCAAGAGGTAAGATGAATGATTTAGTTAAGAAAAATAGTTAAGTAAGAAATGTTGGTTGGAATCTCTATTTTAGAGTAAGTATAAATTGATTGAAGAAGAAGTAGAAAGAGCCAGACTATGATAGTCATGAGCTGGGGTAAGCTTGGTGCTACCTCTTATTTTTTCTAGAAGAAGGATAATGGATAGATTTTAAATAATGTGAAGTAAAATTTTGTAATGAAAGAAAGATTTGATTTATATGATGTCAAATGAGAAATTGAATTTATTGTGTATTAAATTATAAGTGGAGAATTGAAAAGTCGATAATTGAAGATATTTGTGAAGTATAGATATAAATGGAAGAATTATAATACATTGATTATTGAGAGTTGAGAGTGTTCTACGAGAAGAAGCTTGTGGAGTTTGGAATTAAGTAAAGTAAATTACTGGAAATGATAGTTAGTTTTGAAGAATTCTAGTGATTGGATTATGGAATATTTTATGCAGTCTTTTAAGATAGTACAATATTACATGTTGTTATAAGTTTGGAGAAGAGAAGAAACAGTGAATGTATAAGATATAATTATCAATTACAATATTTTATTTGTTAGAAGAAGAATTGATAGAATGTGGAAGACATTGTAGCATTCTTGGATGTTTTTAGTGGATCAGAAGACAATTAATTGTGTGACCTTAATGTGTAAACTCATGTGGATAGTCTTTCTCCATGTTCAAATTCTCCTTCACAAGTTTATTTTGGGAAGATATTTGAAGAATAAGTAAAATGACAATTATATTTTGGCGCCACTACTAAAGATTGACAATAGTATTGAATGTTAGGAATTAACTGCCAAATGAGTGGTTTTGAATGTTGTACAAAGAAGTTATAAAATTAATGTTGGTTCAAAAGTGAAGCCAAATGTATAGTTAGATTAAAGATAGAAAGTAATTTTAGTATTATATGATGAAAGATTACGATTAATAAGAATGAGAACATTGCAATAAGAAAAATATGTCAGTTGAAAGGAAGACATGAAAGAGCACAAGTAAAAAAATTATTGCAGGACAAGCAAAAATATAATCTAAAATAGAAGCATCAATAAAGTTAGATTAAACCATGGTTGCATGTCTATCGGCATATCTAAGCATACCCAGAACGTGACAGACCTTTAATATTTCAAACATATGTACTATTAAAAAAATTACCAAGAATATTTAGAAAAAAATTTGTCAATAATCTAGCATATCTCTTCAGTCCTTTAATTGAAAGTGAAAGAGGCACAGAAGAATTAGGTATTCCATTGGATACTTTCTCAATAGTAGATACAACCAATTCTTGCAAGACTAGTTCCTTAAGATGGCATAAATTGCTTGCCAATTACGGCCAAGAATTTATCATTTTTACCTCTAATTCAATCAATAAAATTATTTGTAGATAATAATAGTAAATTAAGGAGGCTGAAAAGTTTGGTAAAGATAATTAGAGAAGACAATGTTTATTTTAATAAGGAATTAAGTAGAACATTGTCAGCTTCAATGGCGATAGGGAGATCTAGCAGTTCCAATTGCAATCCAAATGGGTGCAGTGGACGATCGCATAACTAGCATAGTTCCATTATATAATTTTAGGGATTTTCCAGATGTCGATCCAAATCAACATTTATCTCAATTCTTGACTACATGTATAGCTAATAATGGTAGAACTAAAGATATTTGGTTGAGATGGCTGTTGGCGACTTTAAAAGATACAATGTTTGAATGGTATAATTGCTAGCTTTTTGCCTAGTTTCCTGATTAAGAGGCATTAAAAAATACATTTTTAATCTATTTTTGACCAATTGAATTTGAAGAACATCTTAGGAAAAGATTAATGAATACTAGAATGGTACCTAGAGAAGCAATGCAGTCATATTATGGCCAAGTAGCACATATCCTTTATAAATGGCCAAATAATCAAATGTCAGATTTATTTATTTTGTCTTTATTGGTTAACAATTTATATCCACCAGAATTGAAGATGTTTGTAAAGGAGGCCTAACCGGCCATTGTTGCTTCCTCATTTGATCGAGCTAAGATATGAGAAGAATGTCATTATGATCAATTTCTAACCACAAGAGCCATGATGATTCCATCTCAAAGACGTTATCATATACCAGCTTAGAATGAAGTAGTAGGCAGTTATCCAAGAACGATTGATTACGGTACAAATCTTAGTACTAATCCACAAGGAATAGTTAATGATGCTCTATTATAGGTTGTAACACTAATAGTAGTAGTTTTGTATTTTTCATACTTCTTATATAAAAAACTAGTACCTACAAAAGAGCTACCTAATGAAATAGTATCGAAGGATGCAAATGAGACTTTGTTGTTAACTTTGACAAAGAAGATAGATGAATTGGCTATTAATCTAGCAAATGATAAGGAAAAGAGGCATAAATTGACCAATAGGCATCCCAATATTTGGTACAATAATTGTCAAGAACAAGACCATTTGATAATGGAATGTTCTTCACCACCTCAAATGATTGTGCAATGTACATTTTGTGGAAGTAAGCATACCACCACCAATTGTTGGAATTTACAAAAGAAACAATAGTTCGGTAATCAGACCATGATTCAACCAACTTTGTGGGAGGTTAATCAAATCCAGACAAGAAATAGGTTTGGCTAGAGTGGGAATCGTTCGAATAAACAAAATAGGATTTTTTTTAATTTTCAAAATTCAGTGTACAACGAAGAATGTGGACCCAATTTTCAAGGTATTGAGTAAAATCAGCAAGGACATTCCCAATATCCATCCATTCAAAAACTAATTTCAGATTCTACAGTATCAACTAGACAACTAAGATCATTTATCCATCCAATCTAAAACATGCCAAGTCAATATATACCAGTAGAAACACCCAATATTCCTCATAGATTTGGAAGAAGATCACTTTGATATTATCATTGCAAGCAGATAGGACATTATACTAGTGAATGTGCCAATCCAAGAGCTAGTGATGAATATGCTCAAGTATGTGGAAATTATAAGCAATCGGGACATACATATCAATAGTGCAATGCTCCATTTAATTTTAATAACCAAAACCAGTACATCCAATTGTATAGTAAGATAGAAGATAATAATTGCGGTCCACAAGATTCTCCTATAAATGAAGTGGAATGCATTCATGCAGTACTTATCAGAGGCCAGTAAAAAGGAAAAGATCTAGTTGTGATTAGATTGGATGCACTGGCCAGTGAAAAGGGAAAGATCTAGTTGTGATTAGATTGGATGCACTGGCCAGTAAAAAGGGAAAGATCTAGTTGTGATTAGATTGGATGCACTGGCCAATAAAAAGGGAAAGATCTAGTTGTGATTAGATTGGATGCACTGGCCAGTAAAAAGGGAAAGATCTAGTTGTGATTAGATTGGATGCACTGGCCAATAAAAAGGGAAAGCTCTAGTTGTGATTAGATTGGATGCACTGGCCAGTAAAAAGGGAAAGATCTAGTTGTGATTAGATTGGATGCACTGGCCAATAAAAAGGGAAAGATCTAGTTGTGATTAGATTGGATGCACTGGCCAGTAAAAAGGGAAAGATCTAGTTGTGATTAGATTGGATGCACTGGCCAGTAAAAAGGGAAAGATCTAGTTGTGATTAGATTGGATGCACTGGCCAATAAAAAGGGAAAGATCTAGTTGTGATTAGATTGGATGCACTGGCCAATAAAAAGGGAAAGATCTAGTTGTGATTAGATTGGATGCACTGGCCAGTAAAAAGGAAAAGATCTAGTTGTGATTAGATTGGATGCACTGGCCAGTAAAAAGGGAAAGATCTAGTTGTGATTAGATTGGATGCACTGGCCAATAAAAAGGGAAAGATCTAGTTGTGATTAGATTGGATGCACTGGCCAGTAAAAAGGGAAAGATCTAGTTGTGATTAGATTGGATGCACTGGCCAGTAAAAAGGGAAAGATCTAGTTGTGATTAGATTGGATGCACTGGCCAATAAAAAGGGAAAGATCTAGTTGTGATTAGATTGGATGCACTGGCCAGTAAAAAGGAAAAGATCTAGTTGTGATTAGATTGGATGCACTGGCCAATAAAAAGGGAAAGATCTAGTTGTGATTAGATTGGATGCACTGGCCAATAAAAAGGGAAAGCTCTAGTTGTGATTAGATTGGATGCACTGGCCAGTAAAAAGGGAAAGATCTAGTTGTGATTAGATTGGATGCACTGGCCAATAAAAAGGGAAAGATCTAGTTGTGATTAGATTGGATGCACTGGCCAATAAAAAGGGAAAGCTCTAGTTGTGATTAGATTGGATGCACTGGCCAGTAAAAAGGGAAAGATCTAGTTGTGATTAGATTGGATGCACTGGCCAATAAAAAGGGAAAGATCTAGTTGTGATTAGATTGGATGCACTGGCCAATAAAAAGGGAAAGCTCTAGTTGTGATTAGATTGGATGCACTGGCCAGTAAAAAGGGAAAGATCGAGTTGTGATTAGATTGGATGCACTGGCCAATAAAAAGGGAAAGCTCTAGTTGTGATTAGATTGGATGCACTGGCCAGTAAAAAGGGAAAGATCTAGTTGTGATTAGATTGGATGCACTAGTTGTGAAGGACCACTTTAATCCAATTATGGGAACTCCATTGAGGGGTTCTGGAGGCGTTCTGCAAAAGAATAAAGTCCAACCATGCGTTTTCTTGGTTCCCTGGAGATATATTGAATTGGATAACATCTATGTTGACAACAACCTCAGCTCTGCTGCACCTTGTAGTTAGTCCTGTCTGTGGAAGTATGACAGGCCCGTTTAGGCGGGACTCTGAAGTAGCAGCTCTCAGTGGATGAGTCGATGCACAGCATGGCAACAATTTGTGTCTGTTTTAGGTCTTACGCTTAACATATCACAAGCTCTCTTCTTACTAGTGCAGCGTCGCAAGTGAAATTCATCAATCTCAGAACTGAGTTGTTTGGAATCGTTGTCAGAGCCGAGTTGCATTATGTGACGCCGAATTGCAATTCATCTTCAATGCAAGAGCATATTCTGCGATTCTGAAATATCTTGGAACTGATTAACCCACAGCGAGCTGGTTTAGCTGGCTGGATTATGCTGCTGGGCCGCAGAATAGAGAGCAAATTTCAACATGCGTACAACAGATGCTTTTTTACCTGAATTCGTGTATTTCGATCTCTACATTGTGGTACATGGTGGCAACCTTAATCAGTTTGCCGTATTACTGATTGCAGGATAACGAATGAGCTTTTGGCAATCCCAGATCGCTGAGCCTGTGAATGGAGTGGGTCTGAACCCAAACAACACAACGATGGTGGAGCTTGAGATTGTGACAGTAGCTGGAATCCTTGTCCATTGTAGTGCTGTTGGAGATATCCATGGATGATCACTTTGAATCTCATAGGGTTCTGTTAGTTGAAACATTTGGTTCATAGATGAATGACACACCACCGGCCATTCAGTTTCTTGGACGGGTATATGTACCACCCCTGGCCACATCGAGAATAAGATTCTTATTGTAATGATTATATGTATGTATTCTATATGAAGCTTGCAATTCAGAGATACTGTGTGTTAACTTGTTTTTAGTCATGGTATCAAAGCTAAACTAGGTTCCCTCAGGCATAGTATACCATTTTCTTTTCGACAATAGAACCACAATGTCAAAAGTCACTATTGTTCCTGAGGAAGTCAAACTTGCATGCTCATCCAACTTCCACCCATGGAAGTACATGATAACCAGAATTACCAAGAAAAAAAAACTTTGGGATCTTCTGGCCCCACCTCCTCTAAGTATCTCCTCACAATGTAAGAAAAAATCCAAAGAATCCAACAACAACAAATCCGAAGCCAAGATAGAGAATTTGATATTTGTCTTGACCATATCAATCAAATCAAGCTTGCTTGGGATTCTAACCAACTACCGCAAGTGGTTGTAGGACTTTCTAAAATGATGTTTTGAGAATGCTAATGACTTTAGAAAGTTTGATTTAAAAAAAAAAAAAAAGAAGAAGATAGGACTTATTGTATTTTTTAAGAATTTGGGAATCAAAAACTATTTCTCTTAGTTTTGACTCATTTTGACTAAACTATCTACTATTAGAGTAAAGATTGACAACACCAATCATATACAAATAGTTGTAAAATCACTTCTAGATTTCTATAATGTAGTGAAATCACTACACTAGTTGTAGCAAGTATCCAATATTAGAGCAACTCTAATTTCATCTAATGTTAGAAGAAAGTCAATGATAGACAAAATTAGGAGCAAAGCTAATAGTAAATGAAGTACTTTCTTTTCAATTAAACCAAGCTTGAAGACATTACAACCGAGAATTTAAAAGCATAAGAACTCAATCATGTAATTTTATAACTCCATGTAAAAACTTTGGCCTCTCAACAAACTTATTTTAGAGAATGTAATAAAACTATTGCAAAAAGAATAGTCATCTAAAGCATATATATCAAGAATAGCTCATTGACATTTACAAACTTGAGTCCAACCCAATAAAAATACTTGGCCTCAAGTTCTAATCAACAACTCTTATATAATATGTTCAAGAATTGCCAAAAGCAAAAGATTGTATAATAGATGCAACCTTTATTAAAGACATTGTATTTTAATCTTCCATTAGGTGAAATAAATAAAATACTAAATATCATTGATGTTTCTAATATCAAAAATTATATATATTTATAGACTCTTTTATAGATAATAAGATCATAACATATTTTAATGATTAAAAGTGTATCTTCTATAGCAAACGCCACAAGAAGGTTGTAGCAAAAGAGATTTGAAATCATCACAACTAATTATATCAACTCATGTCATAATATAAATGCCTTGGTAAATCTAGCTTAATTCAATTTATTTACTATAAAACTATGTCATTATAGGCTTATTCATATCAACTATTTTAGACTATATGATCTATCAAAATAAGACATGGCATTAAAAATTCAATATATTTTTGTTCATAAAGAAGTCTTCAGCCCTGTCACGGACATACTCATATAAGCTAGTAATTACATATACAAGTAGATAAAAGTAAGTTAATTCTATAATATTTAATATGGAAGCTTTCTAGAAGCTTCATAGATACTGCTTTGACTTCATAGGTGTCTTTAATTGACTTTTTGGATTAGAAACATGGTCAACAAGTTGGCCATGTGCCACACATGTTGTTAGCTTGAAGATCAAGCTAACTATGTGGCCCACTCGTAGAAAAACTTGCTTTGTAAGTCAAGGCATGTGTCCTACAAAGTCAACACATATTGGAGGTCCTATAGAACATCGCCACGTAGCCCCTAGTTAGATAGTATATATAAAGACAAGAGTGAAGCCTTCTTCACTCTTGTCAATTCCTTTCTTGTTTCCAGTCTAGTTTCAAGGGTCTCTAATTTTCTTGTCTTTTGGCAATAGCCATTCTAGTTTCTCTTTCAATATACATACTTATTTATTTATATTTTGTTACCTTTCTTTAAGTGAAGGCTCACTTGACTGAATTGATTTTTCATCGGGTTCTTGTTCCTGACAAGCCCTCATTGAAAATACAAGTGATCTCAAAGAAGTTTCCTATGAATTATTGAAACCAAAACTATTGAACTACTGGAATTACTTTATTTAAATTTATGCTTTTATTTTTTAATTTCTTTTTTAAATGGATTGGACATGTATTTGTAATTGTTGAAAACTATGGTAGATACATTTAGCTGTAATATTTTGCAATAAATCATGTATATTCAAAAAATTCAATATTTTTAAGAATACAATGAAAGTACAATTAAAGAAGAAAATATATTCAATACAAAATGATTATATCAAAGATTTTTTTTTTAAAAAAAATTATGATACTATATGAGTTTAGTAGAATATTGAGACAACTTAGAAATATAGATATATTAGAATAAAATGGCATTGTAGCAATATTGAATCAAAAATTATTTAACATGGCACTTACCATGACCATAAAAGCTAAGACACCAATGTTTCTTTAGACAAAGTCTATTAATAATCTTAGTTTTTTGCTAAATCATTTATTAAAAAAGGTACTAATTCATATAATCTTATTCTATAAGCTATTTGGAAAATTTATAAGATATTCTAGATTTCTCTTCTTGAAGAATCTTTAGATCTTAAATCTATGTTTGGATTGAATATGATCATCAAAACAAGCTTTAGACTTAAGCTTGGCTTGGCTTATTTGTAGGAGAAGATTACAAAATAAAAGGTTCTACATTTGATTGCAAAAGGATCACAAGGTCATAATATCTTAAAATATTTGCTTTGACAAAAAAAAAAAAAAAAAAAAAAAAATCTATATCAAGCAACATTAATTAATCAAAGATTTTTATCTATTAATGTGAGCAAAAATGTACCAAAGAAGATGGAGCAATGGAAAATATCACAAATCCAAATAGACTATTAAATAGTTAATGATTTGTATTCCGCATCACTACCAAAATTATCACCTTTTAATCTATTCAACAATACAAATGAATAGTATATATAGTTAACTATTAAAAAACTAGTTGATAGTATTAAATCTATTTCAATTAGTCTCATTGCATCTCTAGCTTCATTAATTTTTATATCTACTACAAAAAAAATACTACCATACAACCAAACTATCTAACATCATCTTCCACCCCAAATTCACAAATCTTCATTTAGATCAAAAGATAGTGTTATTTTTTCATGTAACAATTTTTATTCTAAAGTTTTTCCTTCTATCACCACTAATCCAATTGCACCTCATCATGTAACTTATACTGACTATTTTTTTGGAATTACTAAGAATCTTTAGATTCTTTAATATTTGACAAAGTTGACGTTGATCCAAAGTAAAAAATAGCCATTCAATATTAATGCAATTTTATTTTCAAAAGTAATATATGAAAATTTTTTAATCTTCTTTCAAGTACATCAATCATAATTACAAAGTAGATCTTCAAAAAAAAATAAGATCAAACAAAAAACCAACCAAAAAAAATACATATTTAATATTATATAATTTCAAAAAAATTAAAGGTATTGACTATAAATTTTTTTTGCTATAATTATAAAGTAAAAATTTATGTAGTTAGTTGTGTCTCTTATAGTAAGCCACAATTAGGTCCTAATCTTCCTTGATTTATACTCAGCCTTCTTAAATAATAATCTAAATAAAATAACTTATATACTAATTTAAGATAGATTCTATAACTCCACAACCTTTGCAAAATTTTTTCAACTAAAATAATCTCTCTATAGCCTCAAGGAAGGATTAAAAGCTTGATTCAATAAAATATACAATTTTCTTAATAACCATAGTTTCTCCATGATAAAGACCAACTAAAACTTATATCATGTCCAATATACAATAGAAGTAATAATTTTAATTTTTTATATTGATAATCTCTTGCTCATGGGCTTGAATTCAAATAAAATCAAATGAATCAAGAATCAATTTAGAAATTATTTTGAAATGAGAGATTCATAAAAAATCAACTTCTATGTAGGAGTACAATTTATTTGAGAGCCAGCTAAATTTTATATACTACAACAAGCTTATGTCACTTAAATATTAAGAAAATCTAAAATAAAAGCTTGTATCTTATTGTCTATGCTAATAGTAAAAATATTGAACATCAATAGAAAAGAAGACTTTGACAATTGATACAAAAAGATTTTATAAATTAATAGAAATGTTAATATACTTAACGAATACTTAACTCAAAATTTTATTTTCTATGGGCAGCCTTAGCAGGTCATTGAGGACATGAATTATAAATAATAAAAATCTAAATACATTCTTATGTCACTCAAAAGATTATATTTTTAATTAAAATAGTAATATATTAAAATTAAAATAGCTATTGCAGAAGATAAGAAGACCAAAGACTCTTGAAATAAGACTAAGAATAAACAAAGTATTAACAAGAATGAAGAAAGTTTTATTCTTGATTTTATATATACTATCTAATTAAGAGCTATGTGGCAATTTTCTACAAGATCTTAAATACTTGCCTAATTTATAAGACATGTATCTAACCTATAAGACAAGTTTCTTATATGTGCACCATATGGCTAATTTGTATAATATTTTTTTAACATATACAACATGTGGCCAATTAGTTGGCCAAATTTTTAACCTACCAATTACCTACTACCACATGTAAAGTCAAATCCACCTCTATTATGTTTATAAGAAGCTTCTTCATAAGGTATTATAAAATCTACCTATATGTATTTTCTACCTAATACTTGTTATTTAGATAATTATATATGTCTATGATATTACCTCCATCTTTTTTTAAAAACAAATTCACAAAGAATAGTGATCATATGTTGAAGAAGTCTAAGAACTAATAAATTATATTTGCTATATATTTTGAATTTTTTTCCTTTGAAGACAATTGATAATTATTTTCAACTATGATAGTATTTCACATCAAGGTATAAAGATCATTCTAATATTTTATCATTGTTGAGGCTTTTGTAACTTCTTTCAAATAAAAAATTTGAAATATCATCAAAGATGGTTTCTAGCTCCAATAATATTATCAA